GGTCTCACCTACCAGTGGTCAAGTTAGGGTCTACCCGAGAAACAGTTATATCATATGAGGTCTCACCTACCAGTGGTCAAGTTAGGGGTCTACCCGAGAAACAGTTATATCATATGAGGTCTCACCTACCAGTGGTCAAGTTAGGGGTCTACCCGAGAAACAGTTATATCATATGAGGTCTCACCTACCAGTGGTCAAGTTAGGGGTCTACCCGAGAAACAGTTATATCATATGAGGTCTCACCTACCAGTGGTCAAGTTAGGGGTCTACCCGAGAAACAGTTATATCATATGAGGTCTCACCTACCAGTGGTCAAGTTAGGGTCTACCCGAGAAACAGTTATATCATATGAGGTCTCACCTACCAGTGGTCAAGTTAGGGGTCTACCCGAGAAACAGTTATATCATATGAGGTCTCACCTACCAGCGGTCAAGTTAGGGTCTACCCGAGAAACAGTTATATCATATGAGGTCTCACCTACCAGTGGTCAAGTTAGGGTCTACCCGAGAAACAGTTATATCATATGAGGTCTCACCTACCAGTGGTCAAGTTAGGGGTCTACCCGAGAAACAGTTATATCATATGAGGTCTCACCTACCAGTGGTCAAGTTAGAAACAGGGGTCTACCTGAGAAACAGTTATATCATATGAGGTCTCACCTACCAGTGGTCAAGTTAGGGGTCTACCGAGAGAAACAGTTATATCATATGAGGTCTCACCTACCAGTGGTCAAGTTAGGGGTCTACCCGAGAAACAGTTATATCTATGAGGTCTCACCTACCAGTGGTCAAGTTAGGGGTCTACCCGAGAAACAGTTATATCTATGAGGTCTCACCTACCAGTGGTCAAGTTAGGGGTCTACCCGAGAAACAGTTATATCTATGAGGTCTCACCTACCAGTGGTCAAGTTAGGGGTCTACCCGAGAAACAGTTATATCATATGAGGTCTCACCTACCAGTGGTCAAGTTAGGGGTCTACCCGAGAAACAGTTATATCATATGAGGTCTCACCTACCAGTGGTCAAGTTAGGGGTCTACCTGAGAAACAGTTATATCATATGAGGTCTCACCTACCAGTGGTCAAGTTAGGGGTCTACCCGAGAAACAGTTATATCATATGAGGTCTCACCTACCAGTGGTCAAGTTAGGGGTCTACCTGAGAAACAGTTATATCATATGAGGTCTCACCTACCAGTGGTCAAGTTAGGGGTCTACCCGAGAAACAGTTATATCATATGAGGTCTCACCTACCAGCGGTCAAGTTAGGGGTCTACCCGAGAAACAGTTATATCATATGAGGTCTCACCTACCAGTGGTCAAGTTAGGGGTCTACCGAGAAACAGTTATATCATATGAGGTCTCACCTACCAGTGGTCAAGTTAGGGGTCTACCCGAGAAACAGTTATATCATATGAGGTCTCACCTACCAGTGGTCAAGTTAGGGGTCTACCCGAGAAACAGTTATATCATATGAGGTCTCACCTACCAGTGGTCAAGTTAGGGGTCTACCCGAGAAACAGTTATATCTATGAGGTCTCACCTACCAGTGGTCAAGTTAGGGTCTACCCGAGAAACAGTTATATCTATGAGGTCTCACCTACCAGTGGTCAAGTTAGGGGTCTACCCGAGAAACAGTTATATCATATGAGGTCTCACCTACCAGTGGTCAAGTTAGGGGTCTACCCGAGAAACAGTTATATCTATGAGGTCTCACCTACCAGTGGTCAAGTTAGGGGTCTACCGAGAAACAGTTATATCATATGAGGTCTCACCTACCAGTGGTCAAGTTAGGGGTCTACCCGAGAAACAGTTATATCATATGAGGTCTCACCTACCAGTGGTCAAGTTAGGGGTCTACCCGAGAAACAGTTATATCATATGAGGTCTCACCTACCAGTGGTCAAGTTAGGGGTCTACCCGAGAAACAGTTATATCATATGAGGTCTCACCTACCAGTGGTCAAGTTAGGGGTCTACCCGAGAAACAGTTATATCATATGAGGTCTCACCTACCAGTGGTCAAGTTAGGGGTCTACCCGAGAAACAGTTATATCATATGAGGTCTCACCTACCAGTGGTCAAGTTAGGGGTCTACCCGAGAAACAGTTATATCATATGAGGTCTCACCTACCAGTGGTCAAGTTAGGGGTCTACCCGAGAAACAGTTATATCATATGAGGTCTCACCTACCAGTGGTCAAGTTAAGGGTCTAGGGGTCTACCCGAGAAACAGTTATATCATATGAGGTCTCACCTACCAGTGGTCAAGTTAGGGGTCTACCCGAGAAACAGTTATATCATATGAGGTCTCACCTACCAGTGGTCAAGTTAGGGGTCTACCCGAGAAACAGTTATATCTATGAGGTCTCACCTACCAGTGGTCAAGTTAGGGGTCTACCCGAGAAACAGTTATATCATATGAGGTCTCACCTACCAGTGGTCAAGTTAGGGGTCTACCCGAGAAACAGTTATATCTATGAGGTCTCACCTACCAGTGGTCAAGTTAGGGGTCTACCCGAGAAACAGTTATATCTATGAGGTCTCTACCAGCGGTCACCTACCAGTTGGTCAAGTTAGGGGGTCTACCCGAGAAACAGTTATATCATATGAGGTCTCACCTACCAGTGGTCAAGTTATAGGGTCTACCCGAGAAACAGTTATATCATATGAGGTCTCACCTACCAGTGGTCAAGTTAGGGGTCTACCCGAGAAACAGTTATATCATATGAGGTCTCACCTACCAGTGGTCAAGTTAGGGGTCTACCCGAGAAACAGTTATATCATATGAGGTCTCACCTACCAGTGGTCAAGTTAGGGGTCTACCGAGAAACAGTTATATCATATGAGGTCTCACCTACCAGCGGTCAAGTTAGGGGTCTACCCGAGAAACAGTTATATCATATGAGGTCTCACCTACCAGTGGTCAAGTTAGGGGTCTACCCGAGAAACAGTTATATCATATGAGGTCTCACCTACCAGTGGTCAAGTTAGGGGTCTACCCGAGAAACAGTTATATCATATGAGGTCTCACCTACCAGTGGTCAAGTTAGGGGTCTACCCGAGAAACAGTTATATCTATGAGAGGGTCTCACCTACCAGTGGTCAAGTTAGGGGTCTACCGAGAAACAGTTATATCATATGAGGTCTCACCTACCAGTGGTCAAGTTAGGGTCTACCCGAGAAACAGTTATATCATATGAGGTCTCACCTACCAGTGGTCAAGTTAGGGGTCTACCTGAGAAACAGTTATATCATATGAGGTCTCACCTACCAGTGGTCAAGTTAGGGGTCTACCCGAGAAACAGTTATATCATATGAGGTCTCACCTACCAGTGGTCAAGTTAGGGGTCTACCGAGAAACAGTTATATCATATGAGGTCTCACCTACCAGTGGTCAAGTTAGTCAAGGGGTCTACCCGAGAAACAGTTATATCATATGAGGTCTCACCTACCAGTGGTCAAGTTAGGGGTCTACCCGAGAAACAGTTATATCATATGAGGTCTCACCTACCAGTGGTCAAGTTAGGGGTCTACCCGAGAAACAGTTATATCATATGAGGTCTCACCTACCAGTGGTCAAGTTAGGGGTCTACCCGAGAAACAGTTATATCATATGAGGTCTCACCTACCAGTGGTCAAGTTAGGGGTCTACCCGAGAAACAGTTATATCATATGAGGTCTCACCTACCAGTGGTCAAGTTAGGGGTCTACCCGAGAAACAGTTATATCTATGAGTCTCACCTCGGTCTCACCTACCAGAAACAGTCAAGTTCAAGTTAGGGTCTACCCGAGAAACAGTTATATCATATGAGGTCTCACCTACCAGTGGTCAAGTTAGGGGTCTACCCGAGAAACAGTTATATCATATGAGGTCTCACCTACCAGTGGTCAAGTTAGGGGTCTACCCGAGAAACAGTTATATCATATGAGGTCTCACCTACCAGTGGTCAAGTTAGGGGTCTACCCGAGAAACAGTTATATCATATGAGGTCTCACCTACCAGTGGTCAAGTTAGGGGTCTACCCGAGAAACAGTTATATCATATGAGGTCTCACCTACCAGTGGTCAAGTTAGGGGTCTACCCGAGAAACAGTTATATCATATGAGGTCTCACCTACCAGCGGTCAAGTTAGGGGTCTACCGAGAAACAGTTATATCATATGAGGTCTCACCTACCAGTGGTCAAGTTAGGGGTCTACCCGAGAAACAGTTATATCATATGAGGTCTCACCTACCAGTGGTCAAGTTAGGGGTCTACCCGAGAAACAGTTATATCTATGAGGTCTCACCTACCAGTGGTCAAGTTAGGGGTCTACCAGAGAAACAGTTATATCATATGAGGTCTCACCTACCAGTGGTCAAGTTAGGGGTCTACCCGAGAAACAGTTATATCATATGAGGTCTCACCTACAAGTGGTCAAGTTAGGGGTCTACCCGAGAAACAGTTATATCTATGAGGTCTCACCTACCAGTGGTCAAGTTAGGGGTCTACCCGAGAAACAGTTATATCATATGAGGTCTCACCTACCAGTGGTCAAGTGTATAGTGGTCAACCTACTGAACACTATCCACTTTGTTCATAAGATGAAGGAATTCTCCAGGTTGTTTTATTATTATTAAAACGATTAAACAAAAACAATCTTAAAACTTCAGACTACATGCTAGATGCTGTCAACTAAATAACAAAATCTTGAAAGGTCCAATGTTTCTGAGCCGTGAAGATTAGAATTTGTCTTCAGCAACCCATGCTTGTCCTAAGAGGTGATTAACGGATGGGTGGTAAAGCTCTCTGACTGGGTTGACACATGTCATTGTATCCCAGTTGTGTAGATCGATGCTCATGCTGTTGATCACTGGATTGTCTAGTCCAGACTCGATTATTTACAGACCACCGCCATATAGCTGGAATATTGCTGAGTGTGGCGTAAATTAAACTCACTCACTCAACAAACAGCTGCTGATTCCATGTCTTTGTTTATCAGTTCAAAAAGAATCCTTCACACACAATATCCATTGTTTATTCAGAACACTGTAGACATACAATACACATATTTGATACCAACATGTACAATATTTACAAAATAAAAGACATTCAACATGAAATGCTACACAGAAGAGATTCCACATCAGGCCTGGAGAGCAGCACCATCTCTCTTCGCCTTCAAGTTGATGCCAGCCCCGAAAAACCAGACGATCCCTGGAACAAACAAGTGACTACACTTAAGGGAATTTATTAACAAATAATTTTAACCAAATTCTTTTATTCCATTTGGAAGCCTATTAAATCAAATGTTCTCAATAACGTTTGAAAACATATTCCTTGGAGATAATGTGTACCTACAGGTATTTTCAAATTAACAATCACAATCATGGGGAAATCAGCGATGACAGATTATGGCACATTAACTATGATTAATTACTCCACTGTACTTTCTCAACCAAGTAGCCATGATTACCCAACAGGCAACTCAGAGCCACTATGATAACCAAACTATGCATTTGCACCCTTAAACTATCATTACCCCGCAAGCAACTCTCACCCCGGTCACCACGATCACCCCACTAGATATTCTACCACAAGCAACCATGATTAACCCTCTTGCCACTCTCACCCCAGTCACCACAATCACCCCACTAGATATTCTACCACAAGTAACCATGATTAACCCTCTTGCCACTCTCACCCCAGTCACCACAATCACCCCACTAGATATTCCACCACAAGTAACCATGATTAACCCTCTTGCCACTCTCCCCAGTCACAATGATCACCCCACTAGATATTCCACCACAAGTAACCATGATTAACCCTCTTGCCACTCTCACCCCAGTCACAATGATCACCCCACTAGATATTCTACCACAAGTAACCATGATTAACCCTCTTGCCACTCTCACCCCAGTCACCACGATCACGATCAACCACTAGATATTCTACCACAAGCAACCATGATTAACCCTCTTGCCACTCTCACCCCAGTCACCACAATCACCCCACTAGATATTCTACCACAAGCAACCATGATTAACCCTCTTGCCACTCTCACCCCAGTCACCACAATCACCCCACTAGATATTCCACCACAAGCAACCATGATTAACCCTCTTGCCACTCTCACCCCAGTCACCATGATCAACCCACTAGATATTCCACAAGCAACCATGATTAGCCCTCTTGCCTACCTCACCCCAGTCACCATGATCACCCCACTAGATATTCCACCACAAGCAACCATCATTAACCCTCTTGCCACTCTCACCCCAGTCTGCCATGATCACCCCACTAGATATTCTACCACAAGTAACCATGATTAACCCTCTTGCCAGTCACATGCATCTCACCCCCAGTCACCACAAGATCCTGATCACCCCCACTAGATATTCTACCACAAGCAACCATGATTAACCCTCTTGCCACTCTCACCCCAGTCACCACGATCACCCCACTAGATATTCTACCACAAGCAACCATGATTAACCCTCTTGCCACTCTCACCCCAGTCTCACCACGATCACCCCACTAGATATTCTACCACAAGCAACCATGATTAACCCTCTTGCCACTCTCACCCCAGTCACCATGATCACCCCACTAGATATTCTACCACAAGCAGCCATGATTAACCCTCTTGCCACTCTCACCCAGTCACCATGATCACCCCACTAGATATTCCACCACAAGCAGCCATGATTAACCCTCTTGCCACTCACCCCCGGTCTACCATACAATCACCCCACTAGATATTCTACCACAAGTAAACCATGATTCTAACCCTCTTGCCACTCTCACCATCGTCACCATGATCACCCCACTAGATGTTCTTACCACAAGCAGCCATGATTAACCCTCTTGCCACTCTCACGGTCACCATGATCACCCACTAGATATTCTACCACCAAGCAACCAGCAATTAACCCCTCTTGCCACTTTCTCCCCAGTCTTACCACAATCATCCCACTAGATCTTCTACCACAAGTTAACCATGATTAGCCCTCTTGCCACTCACACCCCAGTCACCATGATCACTGGATAGATGTTCACCGCAAAAAGCGTAATTGATGATTAACCCTCTGCTCTCACCTCAGTCTGATCCAGTCCTTACACTAAGATATTCTACCGCCACAAGCAACCATGATTAACCCTCTTGCCACTCTCACCCCAGTCACCACGATCACCCCACCTGAATGTTCACCACAGAGTAACCATGATTAACCCTCTTGCCACTCTCACCTCCAGTCATCCGCGATCCGCACCACTAGATATTCTACCACAAGCAACCATGATTAAACCTCTTGCCATCTCGCGGTCACCCAATCACTTACACTGGATATTCTACCACAAGTAGCCATAGTTAACCCTCTGCCCTCTCACCCAGTCACCCACAATCCGATCAGCCACTCGATGTTCTACCACAAGCAACCATGATTAGCCCTCTTGCCACTCTCACCCCAGTCACCACAATCACCCACTAGATATTCTACCACAAGCAACCATGATTAACCCTCTTGCCACTCTCGCAGTCCACCACAGTCACCCCACTAGATATTCTACCACAAGCAGCCATGATTAACCCTCTTGCCACTCTCACCCCAGTCACCATGATCACCCCACTAGATATTCACCACCACAAGCAACCATGAGTTAACTGCCTCTTCCTCCCTTTGGTCACCACTGATCTGCCCCACTGGATATTCTGCCAAGCAACCATGATTTTCAACCCTCTTGCTGCTCTCACCCCAGTCACCATGATCGCACCCACTAGATATTCTACCACAAGCAACCATGATTAACCCTTCTAGCCATTCTCACCCCTGTCTACAGCCATGATCACCCTACTAGATGTTCTACCACAAGTAACCATGATCCACCCCACTAGATATTCTGCACAAGCAGCCATGATTAACCCTCTTGCCACTCTCACCCAGTCACCACGATCCGCCCCACTAGATATTCCACCACAAGCAGCCATGATTAACCCTCTTACACTCTCACCCCAGTCACCATGATCACCCCACTAGATATTCTACCACAAGCAACCTATAGTTAACCCTCTTGCCACTCTCCACCCCAGTCACCCATGATCACGCGATCCCCACTAGATATTCTACCACAAGCAACCATGATTAACCCTCTTGCCGCTCTCACCCCAGTCACCACAATCACCCACTAAGATGTTCTACCACAAATGGCCATGATTAGCCCTCTTGCCACTCTCACCCCAGTCACCACAATCGCTATAGATATTCCTACAAGTAATTATGATTAACCCTCTTGCGTACTCCGGTCACAATGATCACCCACTAGATATTCTACCTGGCAACCATGAGTTAACCCTCTTGCCACTCTCACCCCAGTCACCACGATCCACTTCCCACTAGATATTCTACCAAGTAACCATGATTAACCCTCTTGCCACTCTCACCCAGTCTTTACGATTTTGATCCAACCACTGGATGTTCTACCACAACCAGCCAGCGAGTTAACCCATCTTGCCTCTCACCCCAGTCCTGCAATCCGCACTGGATGTTCTGCACAAACTTGACCGTAGTTAACCCTCTTGCCCTCTCACTGATCGCCGAAATCCGCCCCACTGGATATTCTGCCACAAGTAACCATGATTAACCCTCTCACCCCGGTCGCAGTCACCCCACTGGATGTTCACCGCAAGCAACCATGGGTTAACTTCCCTCTGCCTCCACCCCGGTCACCGCGAGTCACCCCACTAGATGTTCCACCACAAGCAGCCATGATTAACCCTCTTGCGCTCTCCACCCCCGGTCGCCGCTTGATCCGCCCCACTGGTGTTACCACAAACAGCCATGATTAGCCTCGCCCTCTCTTTGATCTTTCCAGTCACCCCACTGGATATTCTGCCACGGTAACCGCAGTCACCCCACTAGATGTTCTACAACAGCAACCGTGATTAACCCTCTTGCCATATCACCCCAGTCACCACGATCACCCACTAGATATTCCACCACAAGCGTCGCAGTTAACCCTCTTGCCCTCTCTTTGATCGCCCTTGATCCTTACTGAATGTTCTACCACAAGCAGCCATAATTAACCTCTTGCCCTCTCGCCCCAGTCCGCCATGATCACCCCACTGGATATTCTGGCCATGGTTCTCTTGCGGTCACCGCGGTCACTTGCTGATGTTCTGCCACAAGCAATAGCGGTTAACCCTCTTGCCTCTCACCCCCGGTCACCACAATCCCACCCACTAGATGTTCTACCATAAGCAGCCATGAGTTAACCACTCTTGCCGCTCTCACCCCAGTCACCATGATCCGCGATCCGCCCCACTGGATGTTCTACCACAAGCAGCCATGATTAACCCTCTTGCCACTCTCACCCCGGTCACCACGATCCGCGATCACTTCCCCACTAGATGATTCTACCACAAGCAACCATGATTAAACTCTCTCTTTTGCCACTCTCACACTAGCCAGTCCACCACTTGATCACCCACTGGATGTTCACCACCTGGCAACCATGGATTAACCCTCTTGCCACTCTCACCCCAGTCACCACAATCACCCCACTAGATGTTCCACCACAAGCAACCATGGTTAACCCTCTTGCCCTCTCACCCCAGTCGCCATGATCACCCACTGGATGTTCTGCACAAGCAACCATGATTAGCCCTCTTGCCAATCTCACCCCGGTCCTGCACTTGATCCACCCACTGAATGTTCTACCTGAAGTAACCATGATCTGCCCACTGGATGTTCTACCACGGCGGCCATGATTAACCCTCTTGCCCTCTCTTGATTCCGATCCACCCACTGAATGTTCCACCTGAAGCATCCATGAGTTAACCTCTTGCCACTCTACAGTCACCATGATCACTTACTAGATGTTGTTCTACCACAAGCAATATATTAACCTCTTGCTCACCCCAGTCACCATGATCACCCACTGGATGTTCTTACCACAAGCAGCCATGATTAACCCTCTTGCCACTCTCACCCCAGTCCCACCATGATCACCCACTAGATGTTCTGCCACCACAAGCAGCCATGATTAACCCTCTTGCCCTCTGCCCCGGTCTACAATCCTTGCCCACTAGATGTTCTACCACAAGCAGCCATGATTAACCCTCTTGCCACTCTCTCACCCCAGTCCGCCACAATCACCCACTAGATGTTCACCACAAGCAACCGCAGTTAACCTCTTGCCACTCTCCGCCCCGGTCA